GTGTGAAAAATTATGCTAATTGGTAAAGCTCTGAATCCAAAATCCAACCACTGGGAACCAACATCCATGGGGGGTAGGAAGAGGGTTCTCAATTGATGGGTGAACTGTAATTTTGATGGCTCACTCCAAAGCTACAACATCCCCTCGGATATAACCCATTCAGAGATGGAGCAACAAAGTGGAGGACATCTCCTCATCTACACCAAAAGAACATCACCACCCTACTCTCAACTGAATGAATTCAGTATTGTTTACATCATATATGTTGATCACATTCAAAAGGATGCTTCCATGTTCCACCACTCCATTGGTTGGAGATGGAAAGTGGAAAAAACTCCCATATTACACTGGAAGAAAAATGGGGAGAAAACAGTGGAGAGTCAGAAGGAACATCAACTCTGAAGAAAGTGCAACGGGTGACCATGAAAACCCTATTTTGAAAAGGAATGGCAGGGATGGGCAACTATCCCCTTCTGCTTTACTCATGAAATCCATGTGTTAGTATTATCCAGAACAGGCATATTAATGAAACAAGTATATTACAGGAAAAACCTACGAGTGATCTTGTGAAACACCCCATCTCAACAGTGTGCATTTAGTAGCCATGAAAATTATAATTGTTAACTCATTATGGTCTTACAGTGCAAAATTGACTTGCTGAAGTATACCTGGACAGGTACCACTCACCACAGAGTGGGATCTCTAAAGAAAAAATGAATTTGCCCCTGAAAAATAAAAGGTATATGTACAAAAAGATAACTTACCCAGTCACAGTCTCATGGAAGTCTGAAGAAAGGCAACAGGTGGAAGATGATAACCTGATGAGGAAGAAACAGCTATCCAATGCAGATAGTTAGAGATGAATTTACACAGTGTGGTACACATGCCCAATTGAAAAATTTATTTCCAATGGAGAATGTAAATGACAGGGAGAAGGTAAGGTAATTAAACTGGTGAGAAGACACCTGGAACCAATGACAGGAAGAAGAAAGGTCATGAACATAGGATAGTTGTCACAGAATGAAAGGTGGGAACAGGCACCATAGAAGGAAGCCATGAGGGCAAAAAAACAATGAAGAGTACGTAAGAGACATAGTAATCTATCCAGATCAAACCAGGAATATAGGTGGGGAATGAAAGGAATGGAAATCGGCAAGAAGGAGGAATTACTCTCACGAACCGCTCAAGTTTCAGAAAGGAAAGATCAATTCAGATAAAGGAGAACATATGTGGAATGATACAAGGGTATATGACACGTCAATGGTAAATAAATCCGACCGACGACATACATATGCCAAGAAAAGAAGGAAATAAGCCTTAAGGAACAAGTAGAAAATCAAACCTTCATATGGAGATAAAGTAAGACAGTGAAGAACCACACTGACATCCCAATTTGGAAGGACCGCATGCCAAAGAGGTTGAATAATCCAGAAAGAAAGCAACAATAGTGAGAGGGTAGGAGAGGTAATTACTTTACTCTACCAAGAAAAACGAAAAGTGTGGGATAAGGCAGCCTTATAGCCCATGATTGGAAAGACAGAAGTTCTGTGATCAAACAGTCAAGTCAGAAATCCATAAGAAGAACAGTGAGTTGAGCAGGTGAAAACCCATGACAGGAAAGGAGACAGGTAGAAGGATACACAAAATGTATTTGTTGGTTCAATTCTGGCTGAATGTATCAACAGCCAATGCAAGAGGATCAGGAGCCAGAGAACAAAACAGAGGTAACTTGGTAGTGAGGGATGTGGCAAATACATTCAGGTGAGTACCCCACCAAAGCCACTGGAAAATGTATGAATCGAAAGACCACTCCATCGGACAAATTTTCTCCCAGCCAGGAAAGACAATCCAAGACAAGGTTGAATGCACCCAGAACATGATATGCAAGAAGACGAATACAGAGTGTATGGGCCCAAAAAAATGAGCTCCAAGGTTCTACCACAAAGAGAAAAAGAACGGGTGCTGCCTATCATAGAATTGTCAGAATGAATCATGACCAGACGGTTCCTGGCAAGATGAAGAAAATGATCCAAAGCATGATGTATGGTCAAAAGCTTCAGGATGTTGATATGGTAAGACATCTTGGACCAAAGACCACTTACCTGAAGCTTTGTGCTAATCAACCCACATTTCCAGTCAAGGAGGGAAGCATCTGTGAAGATATGCTAGTTTGGATGAGGGGGAGGAAGTGGAACACCCACTGATGTGTGGGTCTTATCCAACCACCAATGCAGATCGTTGACAAGGGAAGGAGGAAGGGAAATAGGAGCATCCAAGGGATCCCGTACAAGGTTTCATTGGTTGTGCAAAGTCCACTGGAGAGACTTCATATGTGCTCAACCCAAGGGGATAAGAGTTTCCATAGAAGATCATAACCCCAAAAGCAATAGCACATTGGGAGCAGTAAGGGTGTGGTGAATTGAAACCTCCATCTAATGAAGTCAAAGAAGAGAAGGTTGGGCCCAACTGAGATGATTGTTGAAAAAGACACTCAAGTGGATAAGGTATTTGGGAAATATAAGGAATGACTTTTCCAACTCATGAGCTGCCTCCAAAAGAAGCAGATGAGTGTGATGGGCAGACTCCCATTTGGAACAAGCTAACAGAAGCCAGTTGTCCATGTAATAGTGTAATAGCAACTCCCAAGCATGCTTATGTCAGGCAAAAGCTTTGACCACTGAACAAAAAACATACAGGGTCAAAGCAAGCCCAAAAGGTAGGGCATGAAATTGATACACTACCCTGTGATGAAAAAACTGAAAATAGTGCCTCAACAGACAAGATATAGAAATATGCAGATAAGCATTTGAAACATCTACCTTGGTCATCCATAGACCTGCAGAAAAAGCCCACCTGAGGGTGAAAAAAGACTCCATGGTAAACCGAGGCAGAACCAAATATTTATTGACACAGGACAAATCAATCACAGAAATCCAATACCAAGTTTTCTTGGGTACCACAATCAGCCTAGAGAACTAGAGAAGGATGAGGTACAGGTTTGATTTCTTGCTGGGAGAGAAGATTCTGTACCACCTCGGATAGACATTGACTGGTGGTAGGATCCAGATGCAATGGAAGGGATATGGGTCCCCAAGATAATGGAGGAGGGGAGTGGAAGTGTATATAACCAAATAATGCAAAGATCTGTAGTGAAATCATGCCACAGGGGAAAAAAATCAGTCAAGCGAGCCTTCACTGAACCAAAACCCACAAGGTGCTCACCATATTATTGGCAACGTGTCCATTGTAATTGAATAAAACGACTAGTGGAGGAACCCCTGGAGGTAGTAATTGGTAAAATCTGGAAAGGAGTGGGATGGGAAACAGTTGTCTAGGCTCGAAATAAGACAAATGATCAACCAAAGATGAAAGGGGTTGATTACTGTCTCACAGATTCCACATGGGATTCTAGTCTCAGGAATATCTGCAAAAACAGGCCATTGGAAAAAAGAGGCCAGACCTAAGTACTGAAGATAAGTAGGTGTTAAACAAACTTGGGAGAATAAATCATCTTTCCCCAGAAGATCCCAACAACAGAGAAAGCACATGTGTAAGGAAAGGACCAAAGCAGATAAATGTGGCAACATGGAGGTAATCAGGGAAACCTCTAAAAACCCTTATGATCTTGGTGGAGTGTCTAAGAAAGGAAGTGGATGGTGGACAAACACCATAGGAGAGTTGATAGTGTAAGACAAAGGTGGGAAAACTAGGCAAGGGATAAATGAACAGGATGATGAGGGTTCAACCCCCCCCCCTACCCACACACACACACATTGATAAAAGTAATTCAATCTGTAGAGAATCAAGAAATGGAAATTCAGCCTGATGATAGGTTCAAGCAAAGTGGCCTGAAGCTCATGAAGGGCGAAGCATGCTAATGCCCTCAAGCATCCGACATACAAAATGCTCTGCATGAACCCTAGTATCTGGGGAAGGGGGGAACAAAATACGGAGAGGAGTGGGTATTATGTAACAAGAAAGTAAAAGGATTAAAAGAAATTGCAAAGCCACATCAGGCTATCTGCTGTGTCCCCTGAGGAGAATCAAACCCTTGATTTTAACATTGTAGATCCGTAGACTTACCGCTATCCCAGCAGGGGATTGGGGAAATTGATAAAACAGAAAACACCTGAGAAATTCTGTATAAAAATGCCATACTAGGCCTAGTTGATTCTGCAGTAGGAGCCTAGGAAGACACAGAAATCAGGTGGAGGAAAAAGGCTGTCACATTCCTCCTTGTCCTGAACAGGGCAACATCAAGATAAAAAGGTTGGCTGATATAACAATCAATCTTGCATCAAATGAGAGCCAATAATTCCATAGTCGAGTTCCCCCCACCTGCAGCCTGTGAAAGCGTGCTTGTAGATGGTATTACCTCCAAAGTGGTAAGTTGGGCTTTGGAATTCATTGATAAAGATGAATAACCAAACACAAAGCATTAGAATAAATAAATGAAAATCTTGAAGAAAAAAATAAGTTATCCTTATGTTTGTGAATGTTTGAAAAATTAGAACAATTCCACTTTAGAATAAATTATTACAAAACAGTTCAATGTTGAAAAAAGAATTTCAAAAACTTCACTAAGTTTAAAAAAAATACATGATTGAAGAGCAGAATGAAAATTATCTTAATACGAGAAGTGATAGTTTGGTAGAATCAAATAGAGGGAGTCATGCGTTGGGAGGGTGTATTGCACTCCTATTAGTGGAGGGTTGTCATATGATAAGTTACATGCAAGATGCAGTTGAACCAAACTGATCATGGGGTACGTGGGAGCTCAAGGCTTGTGGCATGTGAAAAAAGTTTTGCCTATAGAGGGCAGCACTGAATGACAAGAGCTATATCTGTGAGTGGAAGTAATGTACCATATCGAAAATACTAAATTTAACACTCACACTTCACAACTATCTAAATCATAACTCCCGGATTAAATTTAAATGAAACATAACATATCACTCACAGCCTTTAATCTCAAAACATATTCCACAGAAATGACTTACCCATATCACATCTAGAATTCCACTTGCAAACTCTTTGTTCCCTAACAGATCATCTAGAACAAGGTTAACAGCCTGACAAATGTACAAAAAAATATATATACACACATTATGATTTCAGTACGTTGTCCCATATTATGTTCAACATGTAAAGTACTTAAACATCAAATTCAAAATGACCTACAGAACAGATAGACAGCTATGTTTACTATACCAAATCATACCGTTCTATGATGTCTTATAACAATAAATGCATAAATCCTTCATAAAATTCCTTTATTCTTTATTTCGTTTTTTGATCATAGTCAAACTAATATATATATTTTATACTCATGCTATTCATTATAGTTATGCACATTGTACATTAGCTCTTGTAAAACATTATGAACAGCTACACATCTTTCTTAAAAACAGAGGCATTCCTGATAAGCCAAATCAAGTTGACATATTAATCCCAAACTATTTAGACAAGAGTAATTTTATGGGTTTTGTTCAATACTGGACAGAATGTAAAAAATCATTATGAAATATAACAAAAAAAGTAAAACTTTTCCCTTTCATTAAGAAGATATTACTCTAAAAGTAATTTATTATTAGTCCAACAGGTAATCAAACCAATACTATGCTACAGTAAATCAAAATCCATTCAACCATGTCCAACTAATTAAAACTATGATATGTAACTTTGACTTCCACTGCATGAAACCACACAATATTGAAGAGAGACATTAGTTTTCCTGATGCCATAGAAATGTGTGAGATCATGCATGGAGAGTAATATGTTGAGGCCCTCAAGGTTGTCCATTTATGAGATGACACTGTCATGAGGCATATGAATGTAATCTCTGCTGACATAAAAATGCAATTGATAACACATATCCAAAACAGTCTGAAATTTGTCAGACAACTTGATGAAACTATATGTGTTGCAAAGTTAGCTCAGCTTCTGGTATTTGTATGATACTGTTACAAAAAGGAAGAGTGTGAAATATTTCTGTTTGGTCAAACACTGGAAGAAAGGAGCTACAGGGAAATCCATCTTCCCTCTTTCTGGTAAGTTTTTCACGACATACAATTTTTCTTCATTTAATTGTGTTGGGGTGTGTACTGATACTGTTTACCATTCTTTGTTGGAGAAATTGGATTAATGTACAATGACTCCTGATGCATACAGAGGTTTATTGGTTGTCTCAAGGGAAGGTATTCAGTTGCATTGTACAGATGAAATATGAATTCTGAATTTCCTGACAGTGGAGTTGTTGAAATAGATTAAAACAGAATGACCAAATAGTTTTAACAAAAGATAATGGCAATTCCACTGAACTACCCACATCTGAAGAAAACCAAAAGCTGAAATTGGTGAAGGTATCCAGAACTGCACCACTCAGCTAGAAAGGTATCTGTGAACAGGTATAAGTATAAGCAGAGTGGAAGAAGATGGATGGTCAGAGTTGTGTGGAAACATTAGAACCACTAGGACAGCAAGAGCTAAAGAGATGAAGATAGAGAATTAAGAGCAGACATTGATCACAGAGTATATTCCACTGATTTGCCAGAATCTAATGAATGAAATAGAAAAGAAGCATGCATGAGACCTCAAAACATACAGAACTTCATGAGTAGAAAGAAAGAGAGACATGACAGTCTTGGAAACCAGTAGTTCCAAATATCTTATAAATATAAAGGAGAAGGTTAAGTTCACTCAGCAATTGGGGTGATAAAGGGTCCCAAATGAATCAGATATTGAAGGAGTTAGTACTGAATTAAGAGCCTGAGCAGCCAACCCAAATGAATAGCAAAAGGAGAAAGGAAGTCGTAGCAGATAATGACTACAGAATAGGGCTTGGAGTTGCCAATGTCAATATAGTGGTGGAAGTGCAGAACCAATGAGTGCATTCTCCATGTGAATGCCCTCAGATCTTAGTTGAAAATAGACAGTTGTGACTCCTGAATGACAAATAAAGCTCCTGTAAAAAACTTGTGAAACCCAAGGGTCTTATGCAAAGTGAGTCCACAAGTAGACAAAGTGTAAGATTCAAGTTATTACAGGATCAAAGCTGAGGGGTAGTTCTAGAAACAACTGATCACTGGGCCCATGATGGCCAGCCTATCAAAAGTAAAAAGTATGAATCAGGAAGTGTAGGTAACAAAAATTAATGTCACTGGAAAATATGCCGATGATGGCTTGGCTTTCAGGAAATACACAAAATTAGGAGATTCTACAGAAAACAGGAACAACAGGTGAGACATATCAAGCACTTGCTCCCCAAAATGGTTCTCACAGTTCACGTTCTCTGTGCATCTAACCAATGAAAAACTGGATCACAAGTTTTTGGAAGTATTTCTGCTACATGTGGCAGCCATAAAGCATTCTCACATGTACAAGGCAATATATGAAATACCATATAAGTATCTTGTAAAAGAATTCACAGCTCTCATGACTGAATGAAAATTATATACAAAATTGTAAATGTTACAAAAATGAAATATATACTGTACAAGAGTGATATACTTAAGTTTGCATACCACAAAATCAAGGACTTCTTTCTCATAAATCCCAAGACTTTTATGGTTTCTTGTCCAAGTTAGTTATTAAAATCATGACAGTATGACACCAGGTGTTACCCTAAATTAGGAACATCTGGTCTGATTGAACTTATGAGAGATGAAGTAACTGTGTTCCAATAACCTATCAATATATCATCAATCAGTAACCTTTCTCTGAGAAGTAAATGAAGATTTGAACTCATCCATTCACACTATACCTCTTCTTGATCATTCACCTAAGTGATCATATTCAATAATATTCTTTGAGACTCATAATGTGGATAATAATAGAAAGAAAACAGACAGTTTATTCCTCATTCATTTTTTTTATATTTACAAACTTAAATAAATGACTTGATTTTGAACACATTTTAAAGAAACAATATGAGGTGATGTATTTGCATATATGTACAAATGTGTGTGTGTGTATAATATACTTTTTTCATATTTTTTAATTCACAACTAGATTTTGGCAATTAGATTTAACAACATTAATGGTGTAAACTCTACCAATGTTACAACAAGCAAAACAGCTCATTCACTTCAGAGGCTGTAGTATAGCATACAAAAGGTTGCTAACATAAAAGTGAAATTTGTTAACGTGGAGTAAACTTTCAGCTATTTATTTTGTTCACGATCAATTATGTTGCACTTTTGATCTACAGACATGAACCCTTTACTGGTAGAGATATTAAATCTTCATGCATTGGTGAAGAATAGAGTCATCTAGTGGTATTGCTACCAGTTCTGGTCATCTCAAGTGCATCTGAAAAGCTATGTTTCTGTGCAGTCAACTAAGAGGCTTCAATAGGTGTTCTTGACCTTAAATCATGGGCAGTGGCCAGGTGATTTCAAATGGCCATACTGTACAAATGATATTCATTACATGATTTAGCCAACATTCTACAACTTTGTCCAAAATGTCTGTTGTAGGGACCTGCTCATATACCTGATGAATATAGATGTAATTTTATTAATTGTTTGTTCTCTTATATTTTTGCAGTAGTGTATATTCAACAAGTCTAAGACTTTAGAAACGAAAAAGCTGTGAATACTCAAATACTTATCTTTTCTGAAAAGTAATTAGCATCCTGAGAAGACAGAGTAGTCAACTGTGAGACATGATGGAGAATGTCTTCAATTTTCTCTGGATTAACAATTCCATCAACAAGTGCTCGGTCAAGAACCATTTACAGTTTGTGTCTTCTCTTGTAGCACTTCTGGGTATTAATGTTTTGGCTGCATAAAAATTATAAATCTCTAATAAGGATTTTTTGAGATAAGAAAAAATAAATACGATTAAAACATAAATGTCCATATTAACAATAAAACTTAATGGACAAATATCTTATAAGAACATAATGAGGAACAAGGTGTTAAAGGATATTTGGCTCACTGCGGTCACCAATAAACCCACCAAAATAACCAAACAAAGAAACAAGTCTATCTAAATATAACCCTTTGCACCCATAAATTTATCCAAAAAAAAACTCAAAAGCTTTATACTAACATTCATATACCATGTAATCAGATAAACAACTCCTCAGCTTACAAGCCATAATAAAGAAATAATTTTGACAAAAAAGCCAGTTTGGATTTGAGATTTCAGAACTAAAGTTAAGCAAACTTACTGTACATAACATTTAAATTAGAAATGCCAAATTATTTTTAAAACTACTCCAGTAAAACACCCACAGACAGATTATTTAAATTCCTAACAGTTTTAAACACGAGAATCATGTCACCTCTAGCTCTTCTACATCCAAGAAAAAGCAAGTTCCAATCTTTCACTCTTTTTTCTTGTAACTCAAATTTTTTAAATTAGGTATTATTCTATCAGTCATTTCTGAAATGTTTTCAACTTAATAATGGAACAAAACAGCATGAAGTATACTGAGACCTCACTAGTGTATTATACAAAGCTATAATAACCATAAAATAAAATTAAGCCTTCCTATACCTTGAGCTAAGGATTCTAACTATTCTTTTCACTGCTGCTAAACACCCATTTGAGTCCATATAAACGAGTTCATCCACTGTTGTCTACCCAACATAAAAATTGTATTGTAATAAAAAAAAGTTTATTGTCTATATATATATATAGGATTACCATACTCAGTGAACAGTATGCCCACTACCACAAGCCAACATGGTTAAGGGTTTGACTAATATAGCTATATATACGCTGTCGCACAGCAGCTATGTGGATTGAAAATTCACTATTGTGTATAACAAGCACATTCTTGAAATTCAGAGTCAACTTCACTCACCATTGTTACTGAAAGGTGCAGCACATATACTACATCTGTTTTGACAAATTTTCCTAGAAAATGTCAGCTCACCAGTTGGTTGGAACATGCATTTAACCTTCAATTGTTTTCAGAACTTCTGACTTATCACAGGTTCAGTTCATTCGTAGTCTTCAATCCTGACTGAAAATGTTTTTCCGATAGGTACTTCCCTCCACTCACAAGATTAGCTATTGTCGTTCATTGCTGCCCTCTATATGCAAACGTTTTTATTACAAATGCCACAAGCCTTCCGCACCTCCTATTGGAATCAAATTATTCCAACGTGTCTCTCATGCAAATCATCATGCATCACTTCTCCACCAATAGGAGAATGGTACACTCACATGATGCATGTGACTCCCTCTATACACTTCTACCAAACTATCACTACGAAGTTTGGCAGATGACAGAATTACCGGAAGTTAGTGGGAAGTGTGAGTGAAGGAAAGTATCTATCGGAAATACATTTTCAGTATAGGAAAATTATAATTCCGACATGATATTTCCCTCTTCTCACAAGATTAGCTAAAATCCCACATTGATTAGGAGGAGGTACCCATGCAAAGGAAAAACAGACATACCCCCCGAAAGCATCTGAAGGATACCTCTGTAGATGAGAGAGTCAGATCCAAAGATGGAAAATGCACCACTTCTGATCCAGGTATACTCTTCGCCCATACGTGGAATGTGTAAGAAATCCTGGTGGAAAATGAGAGGAGGACATCTGGGTGGGAGAGAATGGGGTATGAAAGTGATCTTAACTGGAGAAAGATAGAGTAACTCAATCCCACAATAAGAAAAGTGGGTAAATGAGAAAGCATTCCATGATGTAGAGTGGATAGGGCACAGCAGACCATACTCTATAAATCAACTACAACCAAAACCTTCTCGCAGAGCACCAACATCTGCACAAGAGTAGGATGAGGATCATACCATCTTCACCTCAAACACGTGAACCAGAGAACTGAGAACCACTTTGATTCCTGGGTATCACAAAGGATTAACCCTGAGATATAGATCCGGGAAATGGTGATCACAAAACCCTATTTTGAAAAGCAGACCATACCGATTTATTCAATTGAGGCATGGGCAGTTATCCCATTCTACTTTACCCATTAAGTCCATGGATGGTACGGTCTGAGATGGACCAAGTTATGAAGCAAATAACAGGAGGATATTCACCTAAAAGCGATCTTGTGAAACACCCCATCTCAAAGATGAGCATGTAAAGCTATGGAAAGAAAACCACTAGTCAACATGGCATAGTGCAGATTTAGAGTTAAAGAATACCTGGTTAGGCACCACTCGCCACTGAGTGGGATCCATGTAATGAAGGTATGAAGAATGGGCCCTGAAATAAAAGAAAGTATTAATAAAGACTTAGCCAGTGTCAGCATTGCACCAAAGTCTGAAGTACAGTAACAGGTGGAAAGCCAAAACCCGAGGAAGCCAAAACCATGATATGATGTAAATAATGGGAAATGAACGTGTTAGGGTTTGTCCACATGTAAGATTTCCTCCAAAGGCCAACAAAGATGAGAAGGGAGAAAAAAGGTGAGGTGTTGGATTTGATGAGAGGTAACACAGAATAAAGTACAGTAGGAAGAGGACAAAGAGGAATAAGCTAACAAGATCAAATGATGAACCCAATTGGTGAGGGTAAAAGGGAAGAGATCTCTGAACAAAGAAGGTTGCCCCAGGATAAAAAGATGGAACGAGAACCACGGAAGGATGCCATGTGGGCAATATAACAAAGAAGAGCACACACAAGACATAGAAGTCTACCTGAATCATGATGTGGGAAGAGATAAGAAATAGAGGGAAGAGAAATAGGCAAAAAGGGGGAGTTACCCTCACACACTGTCAAGGTTTTGGGTAGGACAAAACAATCTGGATAAAGGAAAAGATAGGTATGGTGATAAAGTGTGCATGTTATGTCGATGGCAAACAAACTAAACCATCGAGACCCACAGGCCAAATTGAGAAGGAAATGTGACTTAAGTAACAGGTGAAACAAGGAACACGAGGGTAAAGTAAGGGAACGGAGGACCACACTAATGTCCCAGTCTAGAAGAGCAGGTTGTTGAGAAGGTCAATGACTCTGGAAGGAACGGATTAACATGGTAAGGATGGGTAAGAGAAAAACCCTGCGGTAATGGGAAAGATGAAAGGTTTGGGAAAAAGATGCCCTATAACCTGAAATCGAGGAGACTGAAGACCCATGGTCTAAAAGCCATGTGAGAAACTTACAGACACCAGTAACAGCAGGAGGAGCAGCATGAAATCCCTGAGCCAACCTATATGCGAAAGACCATCCACTTTTGCTGATAAACTTCCATGGAGGAAGGATAGATAGAAAATGAAAAGCTACATGATGGGAGAAACCAGATCTTCTCATCAAGGACTGGAGAAAAGCCAGGCATGAAGAAAGAGGACATGAAGTGCAGGATGCAGAGCCAGTGACTGGGGTTGACAAAGAAGGTTGGGTAAGAATGGAAGTGATACAGGAGGGAATAATTGTAGTTGGAATAAACAAGAAAACCACGGTTGAGCCAGCCAGTAGCGAGTGATCAGAAGAATCTGGTATGGATAAGGGAAACTACCCAATGAAGCAATCAGATAAAAGGATAAACATATAAGAATTGGGGCAACCAATCTATAGTCAAAGCCTGAGGATGAGGTATCGGGGACCAAAAGAGGGATAACTGGTGATTAATGCATTGATGTGAAGAAAACCCCACAGACTGCAAAGCCACTGGAAAATGAGAGGGTGAAGGGACCACTCAATCAGGTAAATCTTGTCAAGATGGGAAAGATGATCTGCCACAAGGTTGAAAGCACGCAGAACATGACACGCAATTAAATTAATGTGTTGCATGTGGGCCCAATATAGAAGATCCAATGTACGAAAACAAAGGAATCTCGATTGAGTGCCACTTTGGTGATTGATATAAGCCACCACCTTTGAATTGTCAGAATGGATCATTACCAGACAATGTCTGGCAATGGGAAGAAAGTGATCCAAAGCCCAACGAACAGCTAGGAGCTCTAGAACATTGATACGTAAAGACCGTTTGTCAGCAGACCAATGACCTGAAGCTTCCTGGTGATCAATCTACACACCCCAGACCTGAAGGGATACATCCATAAACATATGAAAATCCAGATGAGGAGGAGGAAGCACGACACCTGCTGATGTGTGAGTCTTGTCCAACAACCAGAGGAGATCATCTACAAGGGAAGAAAGAATGGTGATGGGAGCATCCAAGTAATCCTGAGCAAAGTTCCATTGATTGTGCAGAGTCCACTGAAGCGAGTGAATGTCTGCATGGTCAAGGGGGATTAGCAGTGTCATAGAAGACCACATCCCCAAAAAAGGCAGAACCTTACATGCAGAAAGTGAGGGAGCAGACAGGGTGTAACAAACTGACAATTCCAAACAATGGAGTTGGAGAGGAGAAGGTTGGACCTAACTGAGGTGAGTGTTCAAAAAGACACCCAAATGCACAAGGTATTGGGTAGGATTCAGGAAGGACTTCTCCAATTTGATCAACCAGCCTAACCGAGCAGGTCCTAAAAAGAGCTGACTAGTATGATTGGCCAACTCCTGTTTGGAATGGACCAGAAGTAGCCAGTCATACAGGTAAATATGGAAATGCAACCTCAGGAAATGAAGATGAATAGCAAAAGCTCTCATCACCTGACAGAAAACATAAGGAGTAGAGGCTAGCCCAAAGGGTAGGGCACAAAATTGGTACACCACCCCTTGATGGATGAATCGAAGATAAGGACAAGATTGGAATATGCAGATATGCAATGAAGGTGAACAAATCGATTGAGGCAGGACAAATCAAGGACAGACCTCCAATCCCTGGTCTTTTAGGGAACAACAAACAGATGGGAGTAAAACCACGATGAATGATGTGGAACAGATCCAATAGCTTGGTG